CCTGGATCCGACTTTCCACTGTGCCCAGCGGCCCTTCAGCACATACGTAAATCCAGTGGCTTAAAACTTTAGCAAGGAACTTTTGCCGTGCAACCAACCCTTATCTCATTCCTTTATTTCTTTAAAATAAAAAAATGTAAAAAAGACTAACTCATGTTTATTTTCAAACTCAGAGTTTTACAACAAAAGCATTACTAACCCCACTCTGAGCCCAGAGTGGAGTGCACGGCCGTGGGTAATTTATTTACCCTATACTTGTACTCAACTGCTATCTTTCATTGACTACAGTTTTATGGTCTGGAGACCAAATCTCATGCCGGTAAAACTTTTATGACTTACATTAATCCAGTGACTTCAGCTGTCATGTTTCTCAATTTGCTGTCAAGCCATAGAACTATATTTTTTGGATATTTCTAAAGGAAGCAGTGTGGGAGACTTATCAAGCAAAATTTATAGCAAGACTTCCTGAGAAACTAAAGCAGGTGGATTCTGACACACATATGCACCCACACGCACACACCCACGCACACTCACACTGCCTTGTGTGTGAGAGGACTGGACATGAACCTTCGGGTAGGCAGCTGCACTGCAGGAACAACTTTTTCTGGGTGGCTGCTGATGCCCATGTTTGTGTTTCCCCTTTTGGTGTCGCTTCCTGCTTTTCCGCATATGGCGGCAAGAAGAGGCGTGAGCGAGTTGCAGCCAAGGCAGGAAAGTTGAGGGACAAGGGGGAAAGGCAGAAAGGAAGTAATGAGGCGAGAAGTAAAAGGAAGAGAAGTGAAAAGGGATTCTCAGGGCGTGGAGAAAAGACTATGGCTTAAGACTTACTATGTTTAGGTCACGGGCAGGTTGCTTCAGCTCCAGATCTCCACCTGGCCTCACGACTGCTCAAGGAGGCTGAGAAAGGGACACCAGTAACACCAAACAAGGGAGAAAACAGAGCTGACGGGGGAAATCGGAGGAAGTGGAGGAGGTTGAAATGTCTGATGCTAGGCACCAGATTATCTCTTCCCATGTGACTTCTGTTTATCTATTTTTAGTTGAACCCAGTTGAAAGTTTCACCTTTAACATACTATCTCCTGGACATAGACCATAAATGTCTAACTTTATAATGTGTTATTAATCACAATTCTAGGTAATCCCTGAGCCCTGGGCTCATTTTGCAGTCATGGGTCCTTCTCCATTAAAAAAAAAATCACCCCCTGTGTCAGCTGACCGGCGCAGCTTGCTGATGTCACCAGTGTGTCCATGGAGTAGAGGGCAGTGCTGTGCGTGGTGCCGGTGGGACATCCTCCCTCCGCTCACTGCCAGTGCAGAATTCAACTGATCTGCAATCACAAGGTCTTATCTTCATTACCAACTGAAAATACACGCACATTCGCAGTGCAAGGTTTACAAAAGCAGCTCTCTGTGCCGGTTCGGTGCCTGGCTCTCCTCGGGGGAAACAGCACCCCGAGAGAACACAGTGTCATAGAATGGGGTTGCTGTTCTTTCCCCACGGAGATGCTGGGGGCCTGGGAATTAAAAGAGGAGGAGAAGAAAAGACAAGGCAAGAGAAGGTCAGTGAAGAAGCAAATTCCAAACTTTCCTTTCCTCTGAGACTTAAACACAATCCCTAGAGCCTTTTGCAATTCTTAGCACTGTCTTTAGAATAAAGTAAGGCATTTATTTACCATGTGATCTAACATGAAAACATAGCATTTGCATTTTTGTAGATGAAATCACTAGAAAAGTTCACAAAGGAAACTGAGAATGAATTGTATTTTAAAGTAAAGGCAGGTGTGGTGGTGCATATGTGTCATCCCAGCACTTGGGAGGCTGAGGCAGAGGATCACGAGGTGTTCAAGGCCAGCCTGGGCTACAGAGTGAGTTCAAGGCCACTCAAGGACAGCCTGAACTACACAGCAAGACCCTGTCTCAAAAAAAAAGGAAAAACATTTTCCTCCTGTTGCCCTCTTTTTTATTATAAAGTAATTTAAAAATAATAAAATAACATAGACAAAAACAAAACAAAGCAAAAATAATAAAAATGATACAGGGTTTCAAAACAAAATGGTAGGAATTAATAGTTGTTGTTCTGTTACGTATTGTTCTGTTACGTATACGTTCTGTTACGTATTGTTATCTTCAATGAAGTTGCTCAGATTACCAGATGTAAGAATGCAATATTGATCAAACCATTGAAGAGAATAAAAAAAAATTGGAAATAATACAGAGCTTCACCAAATAAGATGGTAGGAATTCACCAATGGTTGTTATATTACATATTGTTGTCTTCAAATTAATTGTTCAGATTCCTGGATATAAGCATGCAAAACTGGTCAAAAAAAATTTCAGTATTAACTGTTCCTTTCAGTAAATCATTAGACATCAGCAGTACAATTATCCCAGCTATCCATATTTTTTTTTCAATTCCTTCTTTCTTTCATTTTCTCCTTTCCCTTAGCACAATTTGTCATAGCTAAATCTTGGAAACAACCCCAATGTCCATCAACTGAGGAATGGATAGAAAAGGTGTGGTATTTTTATACAGTGGAGTATTACTCAGCTATTGAAAAAAGATAAACTTGAGGCTTTTATAGGTAAATGGATGCAACTAGAGACAATACTCATAAATGAAATAAATCAGACCCCCATGTGTAAACACCATATTGTCTCCCTAGTGTAAGAAACTGAAAGAGTAAATAAAATCCAAAATGTACAATAGAGATTATGAAAGGAAAGAAATTGCTCAAAGGAAGGAACAGCTGAGATGGGGAAAAGGAGAAAAAGAAAGAAAGAAAGAAAGAAAGAAAGAAAGAAAGAAAGAAAGAAAGAAAGAAAGAAAGAAAGGAGGGGCTGGGGATTTAGCTCAGTGACACAGGGCCTGCCTGGCAAGCACAAGGTCGTGAGTTTGATTTCTAGTACTGGAAGAAAAACAAAAAACAAAAAGAAGGAAGGGAATATGTGTGTGTGTGTGTGTGTGTGTGTGTGTGTGTGTAGAGCCCCTTTTAGGGCCATGGGAGCCAACAGGACCCTGGTCAGCAGAAGAGGTGCTGATTTTGCATCTGAACTGCATTTTCTTCAGTAGTTCTCCCAGATCCCTGCAGGGCCTGGGCCTTCTCTTTGAGTTCTCAGCTCAATGTACCCCAGTAGGAAACTTTGCTGAGCTTCTTGGTTTGTTGTACCTTTTCCTTGTTTCATTTTCTTGTAGTACACACAGTCACCTGAAATGACGCAGGCATTCATTGGCTAGTGGCTGTTTCGCTTGTCTGTCTTTAGCTTCTGCTGCTAGAACTGAAGCCCTATGAGTGCAGACTACAATTATGTTCGGATCATTTCTGAGTCTTCTGTCCCTACGATGGTGCTGACCCACATTCGTTGTTTGTTTGATTTTTTGGTGTTTTTTTTTTTTCCAGTACCAGGAATTGAACTCACGACCTTGCGCTTACCAGGCAGGCGCTGTGCCGCTGAGCTAAATCCCCAGCCCCCTGACCCACATTCGTTGAATGGATGATTGACTGAGTGAATAAATTCAAAGTTTCTCCCAGAGATCATTAGCAATAGAGATCTGAATATCTCTAGGTATTACAGGAAGCGGAGTACCAGATCACAGTGCGTTAGACACAGAGCTTTCTGGACAGGAATCTGACCCCATGCCCACCCTCTTTGGGCAGATGAAGGCAATGCGGGGAGGCCTGGAAGGTAAGCACTGCTCGGGGCAAAGCCATTCAGAGATTCAGAGGGCCCAGCTGCTTCCAATTCCAAAGGCGGGCCTCAACCCGCAGTTTTGAAATAAAGGCGTATGAAAATAAAACATGGCACTGACCAAAGTCATTGTCTCTAAGATGAACAAGAGGCCACCTGCTCACACACAGCCAGCATTAATCAAGGCAAGACCATCTGAACTCCAAAACAAACAGGTCTCTCTTGCCTCCAGAGGTTCCAACCCCAGCCAGGGACCTCCCCTCCCATTTCTTGACTCAAGGCTGGCAAAAATAGAAAGAGCTAAGGTTGATGAAGAGCCGGCCATGTCTTGGGCATTTTGGTCAGGGTGCTGCATTCCTCATGTATCACCCCATTTTGTAGGAAGGGAAGGGAAGCACAGTGACACTGGGTTTTGCCCGCGGTCACCCAGCTAATAGTAATGGACTGTTCATATCATCTCAGGGCATCTGACACCAAAACCTGGGTTTAAAAAATTGTTTTTAATTTAATTTTAACTAGATAATAAATTCAAAAACTATATATAGACATCCTATAAAAAGTCCCTCCTACACATAGCCACCCAGTTTCCCTTCCCAGAGGCAAGGAATGTAATAAGCTGCCTGAGGATCTTTCCGGTGATATTTCATGCACATACTAGTTCATCTGTAGAGGTGTGCGCATACATGGGGGTCCATTTGTCTGTGTACATTTTGGTAAGCTTTTTCAGTGGAAATGTTGAACTTATACAAACGTGGACAGAATCCTATAGTGAAACCTCCATATTCCCATCACCTACTCAGTACCAGGTCAAGAACAATTATATCTCATCTATACCCCATCCCAGACTTCATATTTCACTGAGAAATATTGCCAAATGGGTATAAAAATGAAGATTCTTGAGACATGACCAAAATTAATAATCACCCCTGAAAATTAGTAAAATCTTTACTATCATCAAATATCCACTCAGTATATGGGTTACTCAGTTTTTCTTTGTTTTGATGAAATATCTGAGGAAGAAAAGTTTAAAGGAAAGATTTATTTTGACTGAGTTTCAGAGGTCTTAGGTCATGGTCTGCTGGTTCTGTTTGGGGGGCAGGACATCACAGAAGAAGGATGTGGCATGCCAGGGATGCTCATTTCATGCTGATTGGAGAGAGAGAGAGGGAGAGAGAGAGAGAGAGAGAGAGAGAGAGAGAGAGAGAGAGAGAGAGGGAGGGAGAAGCCAGGGTCATAATGTAGCTCCAAGGACCTATTCCCTTTATATAAATTCTGCCTTCTAAATTTCTATCATCTCTCAATAGCCCACCAAATTATGAGCCCAACATAACCTATTGATGAGATCAGAGCCTTGAGATCTGATGATCCAATCCCAAGAGTCCCACCCACCTCTGAACATTGCTGGAGTGGACGACAAACCTTCAACATATGCGACTTTGAGACATTTCTGATCCAAACCATAAAGGTAAGCAAACTCTTAATCCATCTCACTTTTACAGGTTGTTTATTGGAATCAGGATTTATGAAAGATCTACAATTATAACTGTTGATGGGCCTTCAAGCCTCTTTTAAGCTATATGTGCTCTCTATACTTCTGTTCTTTTTTACCCCTTACAACTTATTCGCTACAGAAATGACTTTGTCCTCATAGAATTTCCAACAATTCAAATTTTGTGAAAAATAAAATCCCTTGTACATAAACAACATGATAAGATCCATACTACCTTAAACTTTGCTCTTTTTCATAACAAAATTCACCAACCCATTCAATAAGTATTGACTGAAGGCCTGCCACTGTTCTACACACTGGGAATTCCTAGCAAACAAAACAAAGAGAACAGTCCCCACCATCACGGGACGTCCATGTTAGTGCCTCTTCCCAAGCTTTGACATTACAAAAAAATGCAGCATTTTGCATGGAAGAATGAACTTTGTAGGGCAAATTTCTGGTAGTAAGTTGTAATTCAGTGTGTCATGGATTTTTAATTTTGATAGATACGAAACCTTTCAGTCTGTTATGATTTGGATCAAAAATATCCCCTAGAAGGGTCACATGTTCAGAGGTAAGACTTTTGGCAGGGAATTGGCTCATGAGAGTGTCGGCCTATTAGTGGATCAATCCCTTGATTAATTGGTATCTGAGTGGGTGATTAGAAGGTGGAGCTCAAGTGGAGGAAGTAGGTCACAGGGGTGTGCCTTTGAAGAGTAAATCTTTTCTCTTTCTGCTTCCTAATGTCCATGAGGTGAGCGGCTTTCCTCCGCCATGCCCTTCCCCCATGATGGTTCTGCGTTGGAACCAGGTGACCGTGGACAGAAACCTCTGAAACCGTGAGCTGAAACACATCTTTTCTGCTGTAAGTTGCATACATCAAGTATTTTGTCCCAGCTGTGGAAAGGTGACTGATACAGTCCAATTACACTGTACCCATTTCCACTCCCACCACCCGAAGCATGGGAAAGAGCCTGCTTCCCCATATGCTCACCAAGAGTGTGTTAGGGCTTTCTGACATATTCCCATTTGGTAGTTAAAAAATGTTATCAGTGTGATTTTCATATTCCTTTATCTGATGAGATATACTAGCTATTATTTTTCATATTTTTAAAATACATTTTGATTTCCCTTTGCACCTATTTACCATTCCCTGTTTTTCTGTGAGCCTTTGGTCTTTAAGGGCTTCTAGACTGGACTAGAAGACACTAGAAAGGTATACACTAACTAGATAATAAGTCCTTTGTCTATCATTTCCTTTTTTGCTTTATGTATGGTGATGGTGAGTCTTTTTTTTTTTTTTTTTTTTTTTTGAGACAGGGTCTCACTATATAGTGCAGGCTGGCCTTAAACTCATTTATGCCTACATTGGCCTCAAACTTACAATGATCCTCCTGCCTCAGTCTCCCGAGTGCTGGGATTGCAGGTGTGCACCACCATACCCAGCAGATGATTCTTATCATTTGGAAATGTTTAATTTTTTAAAAATATGGTCGTTCTTATTAATCTTCCTTCATATTGCATCTAGGTTTAACATTAGAGTTAGACAAAGTTTAGATCTTTAGTCACCAGGTTGTTCATTGGCCAACACTGCCTTAAGTAATCCACAACAATAAGCACAGAATCCCAGTAATTTAACATCACAAAGCTGATTGGTTGCTCATGCTGTGATTAGTACTGACCAGCTGAGCCTCCTCCGCCTCCAAGGATCACCTTGACTTGGAACTCTACTGGGGCTGTGTTATGAAAAGACGCACGGCAAATAGCACTGGAAGGCTCTTTCGGACACCTCACTGGCCACAGCAAGTCCTAGGCCCCTGAGCTACAGATGGGGCCTCCTACTTCCAGAGGTACCCAGAGGGAGAACGGATACGTGTGGGTGCTACAGGCTCTGCCTTCCTGGCTCACACCAGAGCAAAGCCCATTTCTATGACTTTCTCTGACACATTTATGAGCAACCCTATGCACTGGCAGATCTCTGGGACTGGACTGTGTGGCCATTTGAGAATCTGAATGGGACAGATGTTCAGAGAGTGGCCACACTTACTCAGACACGGAGCCGTGTGACCTTTGGCATAAAAACAGTTTTCTCAGCATGAAGAGACTTCAGCCCTCTCACTTCAGGAGCCAAGATGACACTCCTAACCACTGACTCCTTGAGGTATTTTTGGGTGTAACAGCTGGAAAAAACGCATAACTTCGTGTTGGTCACTTTTACAGAGAAATAAATAGTCTGTATCCTACAGACCCAGTGAAAGGTGCTGTTTGTTTAGCCAGTGGATTTCTGGTTGCTGTTTTTGCAGACTGCAAAGCCAATGGATCTTGGAACTTGCAACATAAACAATGAAGAAATTAAAATAAACCCTTATGGGGCATAAAAGATAGCAATATTATCTCCAGCCTGAATCATGACCTAACTGTTGTTTCTAAAAATGTGAACCTAATCAATTGACGCCCAGTCAGCAGATAAAGAACACGAGGGGCGGGGCGAGGTGGGGGGGGGACCCAGAACCTGCCCTTGTGTTCAAACTGAGAATATCGGGAAATAAGAGGTGTGTTCAGTTTTGCTGCTTACTAGGAGAAAATCTGCTTGAGTTGCTTCAAGTAGTGGGGGTTCCTTCTGAGGAATAGGAGAAACAGGGTCTTCTGGGAATCAAAGCCGGGAAACCAACTTACATCCACCCGTTTCCGGGTGGAAACGGAACTATGCCGGTGACCCCCACGCATCCACTCAGCCGAAGGAGAGGACACCTGCATAAAAGAACCCAAGGCGGGGCTGGGGATTTAGCTCAGCGGCAAAAGCGCCTGCCTGGCAAGTGCAAAGTCGTAAGTTCAGTTCCTGGTACCGGAGAAAAACCAAAAAAAAAAAAAAGAACCCAAGGAAGCACGGGTTAGTGATGGCGGCTCAGGCGGGGGTCTGGGGCTCCCTCTCATCTCGAGATGGAATGCTAACAATTCTCGGTGTGTGGTGTAGGAGAGATAAGGGGAGTGCTGGTTGTCTGTTAAGCTCCAGACCATGTACTCACTGAAGATAGATAGGAACTGGAAGGACAGAGATAGTAAATGATAACTTCTGTTCTTAGCAAATTAGAGTATGAAAAGGACAAACTCTTGTTTTGGGTTAGACCATTTGTGGGAGATTTAAATTAGCCGGACCCAGTAAGTGCACGCCTGCCATCCTAGCACTCTTGGAGGCTACAGCAGGAGGATCACAAGTTTGAGCCCATCCTGGGCAGCTTAGTGACGCAGCAAGAACTTGTCACAAGATAGAAAATGAAAAGGGCCCTGTATGTACCTCAGTGTGAAGATCTTAAGGTCAAACACAGGTATTGCAAATGAATGTCAAGGAAGCAATCATGGCGGGGGTTTTTTTGTCCCCCAGTACTGGAGATTGAAGTCGGGGCCTTCACACTGAGTCAGTCCTTCTTTATTTGTTTATTTTTTGAGACAGGATCGTATCCTCTATTCCGAATATTTGCTGTTTCTGTCTCCTTGACTTACCCCAGAAGGCCCTTCCCTGCAGCCATACCTCATGGGAGGAGGACAGCCACTCCACCCAGGTCTTGGCTCACCAAGGAACTCTTTCAGTCTGACAGAATTCTCACTGTGTCATTTCATGGTTCTGCCATTGCTTTATTCCTTCAGCCACAAGACCAAGACCAAGACGGAAGTTGACCCTTCAGCCTGCATTGCAGAGGGAGGCCTCCTCACTGTCAGTGTGTGCCAGCAAGCAATACAAGTTCTATGCTGAAAAGCACTAGGATCTTGGAGGCCTTTTGTTATTGCAACAGAGTTTTGCCTAAGATGATACGTGCAGATAGTGGGCCCAGAGATGTGGTGCTGATCTAACAGCAATCCCATAGTAGATCTGTAACAGTTACCTACAAGAAAAACGGACACTGCGATCTTGTGGCTTTCAGCAAGATGCAGGAGAACTAAAGGTCGGAAACATGAGTTTACTTCTGTAGCTCCCTTGAGACCAGGGACTGTGAAAATATGAGCTCAGAAAAAGGATTTCCATTTCAAGAGCAGAACTGAAAGGGAAATATGGGAAATGCAGAAATTCCACAGATGGAAAGTCAGAACTGGGCATAAAGAGGATGATGAAATAAGGAGAACAGTGGCCGGGCGTGGTGGCACACGCCTGTAATCCCAGCACTTGAGAGGCTGAGGCAGGAGGATTGTTGGGAGTTACAGACCAGCCTGGGCTACACGGTGAGCTCAAGGCCAGCCTGAACTGCATAGCCAGACCCTATCTCAAAAGACAGAAAAAGAAACAAGGAGAACAGGGAGAAACTTGTAGGAGAAACAATTCACCTCTAACGCCCTCGTTCACTCTATTCCCAGGGGCACTACTGTTTGCCTGTCTAGAGAGGTCAAAGCACAAGGCTGTGTGTGGGTGCAGAGGTACAGTACGTGCACTAACGTGCTTCCCGCAAGCTCCCGTGGCCTTTCCCCGCCACCCAGTTCCCAGAGCACCGTCACCACACCCCTTCCCTTCAGCCAGGAGGCTGAGCTCGCCGGAGAACAAACAGGAAAGACTTCAGGATATCAACCGCAGGGGTCCCCAGTAAAAGTGTGCCCATATCACAGAGAGGGTTAAAATTAAAGGTCTCAGTCGTGAATGCAGAACTTCCCAGAAGCCTGGCTTCCTACAGCAATGACGTTGTCCAGGCCCTGCAATACTGGACAGTCGAGAAGACTGGAAAATTAACTTAGAGAAAGTAAAGACTATTGTACACAAGTAAACTAAAAACCTTTCAAACATATAAAGCTTATGGTATATAAACACATCTATATTTGGTATGTTTATTACTAAAACTCTGTTATATATACAATTAATATCCTCACAGACATAAGAGAAATTTTTTCATTCATAATTTTTTCTGAGACAGCGTCTTGCTTTGTAGTTCGAATTGGCCTTCAACTCCCTATGTAGCCCAGGCTGGCCTTGAACACACAGGGACCTCCTGCCTCAGCCTCCTGAGAGCTGGGATTACAGGATGCACTACTATGCGTGGCCATCATCCATAATATGAGTTTTTTTAAAAAAAATCATTCAGACATTGAGAGGTCAAAAAAGAGACATCGGAAATCTAAAATATGGTTGTAGAAGCCTGACGTGGTTCAGGAGTCTCTTGGAGGCTGAGGCAGGAGAGTAGCAAGTTGGAGCCCAGCCCAGGTAGTTCAGCAACTCTGGGAGACTGTGTCTCAAAATTTGAAAAATTTTAAAGGATCTCAGTGTGTAGCTCGGTGTGAAGACCCTGGGTTCCACTCTCAGCGCATTACAATTACAGGAATAGGAAGTAGGCTCAGTTTGAAGAAATAGTCCAGAGTACTCAGAAACACAAAAAGAACAGAAGAATGAGGTCCACAGCTGATCTTTATTAGGAGTTCCAGAAAGTCATTAAAGAAAATGAAGTAAGCAAATCAACAGGGAAGGCTTCACGGAAATTATCAGACCCAAAGAACACGAGGGGCCAGACTGAGGGAGCTACTGAGATCCATACCAAAGCAGATCGTGTGCAAGTTCAAAGGTTCAAGGCCTGGCAATCATGAGATCCCACTGGTTCCCAGAGAGTGACAAGATAAGTCAACTGTAGGATCAAAATATAGGGCTTCGAACCTCCTAAGAGAGACACTAAAAGCATGAGATAGTCTTAAAAAAAAAAAAAAAACTGATCTATTATTCCAAATCCACCAAGAATATCAATAAAGTATGAGGGTAAAATAAAAACTTTTAAAGTATGCAAATATCAACCAAAAAAACCCTTAACATTCTATGTATCCTTTCTCAGGAAGCTACTAGAGGATGCTCTCCAAATGAGAGCATAAACTAAGGAAAAAGAGATGTGGAATATACAGGAATCCCCACAAAGAGAGGCCAAGGGCATCCTTGAGAGGACTGGGGGCTCCAGGCGGCCAGCCACAGTCCAGATGGCTGAGGGGTCATGAGCAGGAGTCCTGCTGCCCTCCTTCAAAATCTAGGTCTGTGTCCCAGTGCACGCATAGGCTTATCATGTCAGTGTTCTGGTTAACTTTCTTTCTTCTCTATTACGGTTTGTGTCTAGCTGTTCCCCCAAAGCCTCGTGTGTTTTTTTCAGAGGTGGCTAAATCTAGAGTATGTGATTGATTTGTAGTTTTATTACAAATTAAGGATTAGGTTTAAGGGATTAAGGGATTAGGTTTAAGGGATATGAAACATTTATGGACAATTAGAAAAAGAAAAATAAGCTATTGAGAGCAGGGTGGGGAGGCCTGGGTAGAAGGGAAGATTTTGAATGTTTCTCTGTGAAGGAATGACAAATGTTTGAGGAGAGAGATATATTCACCCTGATTTGGGTGCTGGGATTAAGGGATTAAGGGTGCTGGGATTAAGGATGGGTGAATGCTGATCAGTCCACTGACTGGATTGGCACCACCCTAATCCTGGTAGACTGGATACAATACAAGGGACAGAAAGAAGCTTGTCTCTCTCTCCCTTATTGTTTTGCTTTCATCTGCCATGAACTGTTGCCCTGTGCCATGTGCCACCCTGCCTTGGAGCCAGCTGATTATGGACTGAAACCTCCATAAACTGTGAGCTAAATAAACTTTTCTCCCTTTAACTTTGGACATCGGGTATTTTTTCTCAGCAATGAGAGAAAAGTAACTAAGACATCCTCCACAACTCATGCTTGGGTCAGCTCAGGGTCCTGATTTCACCCCACAGAAAAGGTCTTCTCTGACGTCCTGAAAACCAGAGGTCAGGCCTAGGAAGATCTGAGCAGCTGACTCACCTGACCAGGTCACTGTGGAACCCAGATCTTGTTCCAGGACCTGATATTTAATAGTATGCACCCACTTTTCCGGTTTCAACCTTAGCCTTTATCCTGACCTTTCCAGAGGGCTGATTTCACACATCCAAGGAATCCAAACCCAGAGATTCCACTAAACCTATATTTTTCCTGGACCTTCTGGCAACTTACTTCTGCATTACAATTGTATTTGTACTTGGTACTCAGGCGAGACCAAGGACTATATATACCCTGGTGGAAACAGACATGGGTTGTAAAACTATGGAGAAAAGCTAAAGCATCACTAACACAACATTTTGGGAAGGGATTTCTTGGGGATAAAGGAAAGAAGCAACCTTGGGAGCAAAGGAGGATTCTAAGCTATTTATGCGATCCTCCTTCTGGGTGAGAGGAACGCTCGCTCGGGGGTTCTTTTTCTCCTCATCCTCATCCCCTCCTACTCTGGCACCTCCCCCCCACCCTGTCCTCCTTCTCCCCTTCCTTTTTCACCTCTTCCTCCTGTTCCACTGCTTTGTCTTTGTCTTCTAAATTGTATACAATCTCAATTCTCACCATGTCACCATGATTCATGATACATACATGATACATACATGAGACATGCATACATTGTGTCATGTTCAAACCAGGGTGAACATATCTCTCTCCTCAAACATTTGTCATTCCTTCACAGAGAAAACATTCAAAGTCTTCCCTTCTACCCAGGCCTCCCCATCCTGCTCTCAATAGCCTATTTTTCTTCTTCTAATCGGCCATAAACGTTTCATATTCTGTTATGTATAATATGCCCCATAAAAATGTAATCTTTCCATCTGAAAAACAGTCAAGTAGCAGTGAGTGATTTGGAAAAAGGAAAAAAGCTGAGGATGCCCTGGGTGGCCATGGAGAAGGATCAGCATGGTATTAGGGTTGGGTGGGGGCAGTGGTAGAGCGTGTGTACCAAGTCGTGGGTTCAATCCCCAGCACCACAAACCGCAAAAAGCCCACAGAAAAGGTCTTCTCTGACCTCCTGAAAACCAGAGGTCAGGCCTAGGAAGCTCTGAGTGTGTTTTGTCAGGTAAAAGAAAAAGGGTGAGGATAGGATGTTTATGAGATAATGACTGAATAGAGAAGTAAAAAAAAAAATAAATAAATACACAATAGCACACCTCCCACCCATGTGCATGTCTGTCGGTGTGAACACAAATCCACCCAGGCACACTGGCACCTGGACACCAGGGACAAGGAATTCTCACCTTGTGTGTCATATCATTGTGGATATGGAAGCACTTCCAAGTTGTACTTATGCAAAACACTTCAGGCTTGTTTTACTTTTTAAAAAATCTTGATGGCAGGACGATGAGAAAGGGCACTCGAGGAGGGAAACCTGCTTGGAAAGCCAGTGGGAAAGTGTCTCCCCAGGCTGGGCAGCAGCCGCGCTCCTAGGCATACGCGCCAGGACATCCGCTTGCACACAGCTACCGCGAGAGTGCACAGGCACATTCCGAAGGCCCTCGTGTGTGGGATCTGAAAAGGAAAGAGGGCTGCAATTTGGAAGGTCCCAAGAGAGGAAGGCTTCTGAAATTCTGGTTGATCCTACACAGCGGGAATTAATCAACATGCATAAACATCACAAATAAAACGTAAGAAGGAAGCACGGATGAAAAACACGCACAGCAGGAGCTGATTATGTCACATGCATGTAGTAGAATAGATAAGAAAGTGGCAAAGATGAAATTCAAGCTGAGGGGCATGGCCCAGTGGCAGAGCTCTTGCCTTGCATGCATGAGGCCCCGGGTTCCATTCCCAGCATCCTAAAAAAAAAAAAGAAAAAGAAAAAAGAAAAAAAATTCAAGACAGAGTGACCCTTGAGAAGAGCAGGGAATAAACTCTAGGAAGGACGGGTGGAGCCTTCAGCTGTGTGTGTCACGACTTATTTCTGAGGCTGGGTGTGGCCCATGTGTTTCATAATACTACTGATACTGACTTCTTAATTCTCAGTTATACTTCACTGAACTAAATGAAATTGCCAGCAAAACTCACCAGGAATACAGTAATCACTGTAAGATTATAGAAACAAAAGATAACAGAAAAGATTAATTCCAACAGTTCCAACTTTGCTTTTCTTTTTACCACATTCCTGGTCTGAGGAGGTACTTTTATTGAAAACTGGGTCTTGCTAGGTTCCTTTGAACACAGCAATGTAAAAAAAAATGTCCTGGAATTCTGCAATTAGACCATCAACTGTTTGAAGTTAGGAAGAATTGTACCAGTTGCACACAGTCCACCTCTCACATTTTTATAAGTGAAATGGTGAGTGACATCAGAGGTCATCAGAAGTCATCAGAGAGGACGTCAGAGGTCATCAGACAAAGTTGGTGCTGGGCC